CCAAATTTTCCATGGTATTGGATTTTACATTTTCTTGGTTTTTGAGGAAAANAAAAAGTGAAAAAGAAACTCGTTTTAACCACATATTTCATGGAATCCACAACTATTCAATCACACATTTCATTAAATTTTATCAAAATTTACTAAAAAAATAATATTAATCCCCAACAAACAAGGGCGTAATTGTACATGCAAATTAACATATTGTATGATATAAGTGAATTGGACGTGAGAAACTAAAAATATGTTAAAAATTACACGTTTATCTTGTATATTTAGTTATACCTAGTCTAGTATAACAATAGTAAAATAAGCTGAATAGCTCAAACTATACGAAATTTCAGTTTTAAAGACGAAACTTTTGGCTTGAAAAAGTCTCTCGACGAATGTTTTTCAATGAAACAATTCAAAAATGACTTTTACGATAAGAATATTCGTCGTTAAAAGTCAATTTTTTTTGTAGCCCAAAACGACCAGGCTCATTGAGACCAACTATTCAAAAGCATATTTCTGTTAAGAATTTACTTGCTGTTGTTAAACTAGAATATGGTTTGTATTTGTCCATCTTACATTGGATATGATTCTTAAACTTTTCCCCATGGAATGAGGTCCATATGAATCTCACGTCGAATCAAAATAAAAGAGATCTCCCTTTGTTTCTTTATAATGGGCCCCAAATTGTAATATGCAAAATTTTTAATTTATTTTTACGGAACTAAATCAATTAAGAGCCTGTTTGGTGCATATTAAAATGAGAGAATGCATTTTTTTTGAAGTGATGTGATGGAGAATATGTGGTTGAAAAAGAAGGAAAAATTGTTGATGTGATGGAAAATATTATTTTATTGAAGAATGTGTGGTTGAAAATGAGTAGAAGAATGAGAATGAAAAAAATAATGATTACACAGCGTATTAAATAAAGTTTGTGGATTACTCCGATAAACAAAGTAATTTGTTGGGTAATCAGGGCCCGTTTGGTGCACATTAAAATGAGAGAATGCATTTTTTTGAAGTGATGTGATGGAGAATATGTGGTTAAAAATGAAGGAAAAGTTATTGATGAGATGAAAAATATTATTTTATTGAAGAATGTGTGGTTGAAAATGAGTAGAAGAATGAGAATGAAAAAAATAATGTGGGTCAAACAGGGGCTAACTTAAAATTCGACAATAAAATAACAAAAAAAAAAAATGTAATTTCCAAAATATTTATATTATAATAGATAATAAACTCGAAAATATTCTAAATGATCACTTATATATCACTAGCTTTGCATTTATTCTATATATAATCAACAGAGATGTTCTCTTGGTTACCGTAGGTAAAATAAAATGTGTTTAATGCCACGTCAGCAATGATGGCGTGTTTAATGCCACGTCAGCAATGATGGCTTGAATTGACAACAATGACGACTTGACTTGCTGACGTGACCAATCGAACACAATAACACTTTGCCTACGCCACATCAGTCGTGGACAATAAGCTTTGCACAACATAGGCAGGAAATCATCCCCAATATAACCAAATAGTATGAATACTATTTTTATCTTTTGGTCAATATTTTGATCATTTCTACAAGTAGTAGTTCTCATGCCCAGACGCGAAATTAGAAGCTTTAACTTGTGCCTTGCGAACAATACCTACTGCATTGAGAGACATATTAAATAAAACAATACAATTACTTATTTTATTCACAAACTTTGTTATTGTAAAAATAAAAAATAAAAAATTTTTTTTTTGACAACATTGAATTTTAAAAAATCAATTGAAATATATTTTGAAAATAAATGAAAATCAAAATTATCTATGCACATAAATACAAAAATGACGTAAATATTAAAACTCTTTCCCGATATATAATTAAAGAAAAAGATACAAATTATACTCGAGTTAAGTGAAAAAAATTAAAAAAATCACCTTCTTTCAAACATTTTACATAAATTTCTTCGCAAATGATCGTGCACTCAACTAATATTTTGATGAGATTTGTGCATAGAAAGGGATTGAGTAATTCTTTTTTTAGATTTTGAAAATGAAAATGAAGGAAATATTTAAGCCTACAAAAAGTTAAGTATATAGCCTCTTTTTTGTAGGGATTAGGATTAGAATTAGATTTTTGGCAAATTTAATAAAAGTTGATAGAATGTATGGTTGAAAAGTTGTGGATCCCATAAAATATGTGGTTAAAATTAATTTTGACTTTGATTTAGATTAAAATCTGGATTTTAATTTATATCAAATAGGGGTATAGTGTTTTTGTCGACTTTACCTTTTGAGTTAATTGTCTCAATAATCACTGAACTTAAGTTTGTGCTTCGACTACTTATTAAAATTTTAGATGTCGAGTTTTGACAACTAAATTTATCAAAATATTGGACGTTACTCACGACATGATATCCATTACTCAATTCTAATGGATTGATGACATGGTATATGAAATGCACAGGTGGCGTAATTTATAGTACACCAAATTGTCACGTAAAAAAATGACGTATTTGATTACTTACAGTACTTTAGAAAACGTTTTTTTATTAATGATTATACTTTTAAAAAGTCCTTGATTTCTCACTATACTTTAATTAAATTTAAGAATGCTATTCCAAGTATCACTTTCATGTTACAAGGGAATTTCAAGACATTTTATATTATAATTGAGTTTTATTGCTATTCCTTGCATATTTGATCTATAATCTAGTGTTGGACCGAAATTTTACTAGAAAAAGAATCGTTGAACCCAAGTCAACACAATGTAAGGTTGGACTACGCCCCAGAAACTTTAAGATCGGACATTGACCGTTATAATTTAAGGGAACGTCGAGATTAATAAATTCCAGCTATACTGTCCCACTTGACCATCAACCACTCCTAACAAGACGTGTGGCAGCCATGACGTCGCACCTATTTTGCAGCCAATTACAAGCTATTAATGATTATCCAATATCAATTTATCATTACTTGATGCCATTGTTGAGGCGTAGACGTCATGATAGCCTACATGACTGACTTCAACAACCAATAAAAACATTGTATCTTTGGGCAATGGAATACGTTTCTAGAATAGCATTGTAGCTGACGACATAGGACGGCCAAGTGGTATAGTCTTCCCTCCTATAAGTAGGAACCAATGGTCCCCTTCAGGGACAGAGCTACGAAACCCTTCAAAAACACTTTCCGATAACTTTTCTCAAGGCAATTACTCCATTTTTTGTACTAATTCAAGCAATATTTTGCCACGTCACTTTTAGTCATCGACAATCTATATTAATAGTAATAAAATATTGACACTTCTGATGACTAATTTTAACAAAAATATGTACGATATTCAACAAAAAAAATTCGTAACCTACAGTAACAACAAAAATCTTACACCAAAAACCATCCAAATAATTTACTTGGTAAAATTGCAAGTATACATACATGAATCTATGTATGTATGCATATGCGTGCGTGTGTGCTGGTCCACAATTCCTAATTAATTTGTAATGTATTTTTTAGTTTCGCCCCCACAAAAATTTTGACTGGCCCCCGCAAAATTTTGAAATTTTTTTTTCCATTAATAAATATTAACTTAATAACTTACACTTTAAAATTCAACAAAAGCCCCAATCCAATCCAAAACCATACAAAAATCATACTTAAATATTGACCCAATAACCATACAAAAATCTTAGACCTAAACAAAAGATCCAATAGTTATTTAAATAAATAAATAGCACAAATCCAATCCAAAAGCAAATGACCCATTTATGAATAAATTATCCAAAAGCATACCCACAAGCCACAGCTCATAAAATGTCCATCTAACGTTCATATTTTCAATTTGTATAGCGTTAGACACATAGATGGACATATTATTTTTGTATTGACAAATTGATTGTCTTTTTGGTCAGTCAATCTAACATTTTGGTATTTAAAATCGTCGTTTTCAATCCTCTTAGTTCCCTCCACCCCTTGTATTTTCGCCCCCACAAAATTGAAATCCTAGCTACGTCCCTGTGTGTATGGACAACATGGACTGCTTATACAGTGACCGCAGACCAAATGCATCTCCACATATTCATTCCTGTTTTGAGGTATATATGCCTTAATGTATACTTCCTTTTTTATAGTAAAAGATGAACCACATGCAGAGAGCCGCCGATTCTTTGCCAACGGTGCTGGTGTTATGTTTCATTAATGGACAAAATCTATCAGTACTTTTGCTGTGAATCTTAGGCATATTTTTAAAAAGTTTTTACTCAAAAATGTTAGAAAGATTTGTCAATTTGATGGGTAGTTAAGCACAAGTTAGACGAGATAGCGTATATCAAAATTAGTAAGGCTTGTGATTATTAAAGATGCAGATGATTTGAATTTTTCAATTTAGACAAAAGATCAGTGAAGTCGATGGACTCATAATATATTTGCTATTTTATGTTGTGGTCATTATTAAGCACAAAGGATCATTAACAATATACACAGAATAAGGGATTCTGAAACAAGAAGAATTTTTTCAGAAGAAATATGAAATTTTGTTCTTAAGGAAATTTGCTTGATCTCCTTTACAGGATTAAATCAGTACATTCTAAGAAAAAAATATTAGCCTGCAGGTTAGTTAACTTTAATCTATAATAAATTCTGAAATAAAAAATAACATGCACCATTCTTTATCCTATAAAATAATATAATATATAATTATCGTACTTATTGATATCTAATATTTTGTTTAGTTACATAGGATGAGTTGTACATGTTGTAAGTAGAATCCCAGGCGAATATATACATGACTCTTGCATGCAGGAGCCAAAATATATGGATCTGTGTTGGGTTTCAGTGTACAATTATGTAGTAAGACATGAATCACAATGAACTACGAATCATTCGCATATTTGAAGTGGACTGCAAGATTTTATTTTGCTGTTGTTTTATTCAGTAGTACATCTTTATGTCTTAAGATTTCATATATAAGAAAAAAGAGAACGAAGTTGAATTATTTTAAAACTGTGATCACCTAAAGAATATTAGGGACCTTCCTTATTTTCTGCTAAAAGTGGATTATTTTCCTCAATTTCTTCGAAGTCATTAGCACCAGTCAGCTGTAAAGCTCTCTGAGCTTCAAATTTCCAATCTGTTAGAAGCAAAACCACCATCATGGTGGCCATACAGGCAGCCTGCGCCGCCAACAGCCCCAGCCACAGCCCTTCAAAACCAAAGCCTCCGTAGAAACCTAAACCGACCGCCACTGGCATTCCGACAAGATAAAAACAACCTAAGTTGATGTTTGCTCCCACTTTGGGTCTTGCTGTTCCTCTCAACACCCCACAACCAGTTGTTTGTGGGCAATTTCCTAACTCGCAGAGCCCAATTATTGGTAAAACTAGTGAAGTCATTGCTATGATTTCTTGATCATGAGTAAACATTTTGGCCCAAATGTTCCTCATGGTTACTGTGAAAAACAGTGCTGAAAACCCCAGTATGAAGCTTCCTGTTTGAAAATAACGGAGAGAATCAAAGAGAATGAGTACAACCCTGATTAGTGTTGACAAGTAATTAAAATAAATAAAATTTATGACCTTCCAACACCCACTTATGAAAATCGTGCAAGTGCGAGATTTAGTTTTAAAAAATGAATACTGCATGCAGGCGAAGGTTTTGTTGAAGAAATAATTGGAAAAAAAAAAATTGTCTCCCTTCCAAAAAATTTTAGGCGAAATTATTTAACGATAAGTAATACGAAATTACAAATATCTCTAATACCTGAAAGGCCTACAATTGCTGCAAGCTTTGCTTTATCTGGCTGCCTTGCACCCAATTCATTGCCTACCCTAGTGGAGAGACTGAAGCTAAGAGAAGATGGAAATATGTAAATCAATGAAGTGGTTTGAATCAAAATCCCCATTGAAGAAACTGTTTTGTTGGGATTCACTAACAACCCACAAAGCAAAATCATGATTTCATACCACCACCATTCCAGACACACAGAAATGCAGCTTGGAATGGCCAAATTCAAGTGGGATTTCCATTCTTTAAAGCACTCCATGGACAGACCTCCCCAGGTTCTTTTATACACACCAGAAATCATTATATAAACTAACAATGAAACTACAAGGTTAAAATTTGTCCAAACGGCACTTAGTGCAATTCCTTTGATACCTAAACTAAGTTTTGAAACGAGAAAATAGTTTATCGGTATGTGTAGAAGAATTGCCATTGCTGCACAGAATGTTAGAGGCAAAGTTATGGATTGTGTTCTAAGGTAAATGCGCAGTGGATGCAGTAAAGATTGTGCCAATAGGTCAGGAATTGAGTACAAAAGATATGCTTGAGCTTGTGTTGCAATGGTTTCATCTTGTTTAAAGAAAACTAAAATTGTTTTAATGTTAAGCCACAAAAGGGATATTGGGAAAGATGTCAATATGAGTAAAAGCACTGTTTTCTGCAAGGAAATACCAAGGAGAGTGTACTTTTTGGCACCAAAAGCTTGACCACAAATGGGCTCCATTCCCATGGCTAAGCCGGAAAGAATCGAGTATCCGGTTATGTTAGCAAACCCGATAGCTAATGAGCCTCCGGCCAGCGCTAGGTCACCTAGCGGACCAAGAAAAAGCATCGAGATCATGGAACGCGAGTAGAGTAATAGACCGGTGAGTATCATTGGGATGGCTATTTTGGCTATGGATTTGGATTCTTGAATGACTAGAGAAAGATATGTAGTTTTGTTGGATTTCTTAATTTGGTGTTGAGATGTTGGGCTTCTAGGGATCAAAGAGGCTGGAATATCTGATTCTCGGGGTTTCAATGAGAGGAGATTAGGTTTTTCTGAGTTGCATTTGCAAGACAGAATGTGGGATCTTAGTTGGTACATTTGTGTGTGTGTGAGAGAGATAGAGAGATAGAGAGAGATGCTGGAAGACTTCGGTGGGGTTTAAAAAAGGAAATGGAGTTGGGGGTTTTATAGGGTTTCCGAAGACTCCCTTGTTGAATAATTGGGCATGTCTATGACATTCTTTCCCGTTGACATAGATTTTAGCTATCATGGTATATTTGTCACGCTTGACTATATAATTATTCAAGAATCATGCCAATTGTAGGGTTAATTACCCCAATAGTCACTGAACTTTACCGAAAGTTTCCACCAGGTCACTGAACTTTAAAAACTAAGTGGTTAGTCACTGAATTTTGAAACTGCAACCTCATTCATCACTGAACTTTAAAAATCACCTCATTCATCACTGAACTAAGTAAAAGAAATCCAAAGGGTCACTAATTCAATGATCTATGATCATCTGGAAAACTTTTTGCAAAGTTCAGTGACTCCGTAGAAATCTTTTGCAAAGTTCAGTGACTAATGGGGTAATTTTTAAAGTTCAGTGATGGATGAGATTGCAGTTTCGAAAGTTCTGTGACTAACCACGTAATTTTTAAAGTTCAATGATTTGGTGGAAACTTTCGATAAAGTTCAGTGACTATTAAGATAATTAACCCCCAATTGTACGTGTGCAAATGTGTTGGCGGAAAAATATGTTATTTTTAAAACTGTCCAATTATGTGCAATGTAAAAAATAATGTAAAATAAAATGCACATATAGCATGATTGATTATTCAAATCACCACGTATTTGTATTGAAACAATTTCCTAGAGCAATCTCAAAAAATGATATTTATGACTATTTAAAATTGTTGAGATATATTTAGTACAATAAATCGTACAAAATATTAGATTTTTAATAAATTTTCATAAAAATAATGAAATATGTAATTGAAAATTTGATTTAAAAAAATTATGATTCGCATGAAATATTACACGTGGAAAAGATGATTAAGGATGAGGAATCCAAAACAAATTTTTCTTTGGACGGTGATGGGTGGACCCGATTAAGAATAATACACGGGCCTCTATAGGCCCAATTTGTGATGATCCATTTAACGCCTAAATTCAGGCCATTTTGTTGTGTAATGACGCACATAACATAAAGTGCTAATTCAAATTCGGGAACCGCCCAAAATTATATACTGTCCTTGCTATTCAAAGTCCCTTTCAATGGCTAATCAGGTCAAATTATTTTGATTTGATTGTAGAAGTTCGAAAAAATTCGGGTCGCTAAATTCTAAAAATATTGGTAGGTAAGGAACAAGAGAGTCGATTCGTTCATATTTTACAACTTCATCGCACTCCAAATCTAATAAAATACAATGAGTTCTAGAAATTCATTGAAAACCCGTGACTAATATAATAATAAAAGATACTTATTAAGTTCTTATTTGACAACCATTATCTGAAACTTCTTCTTTTTTTGAGGTATGTTTGGTTGTACTCCAAAAAGTAAGCGCTGCTTTATTTTCTTGTCAAGTAAAAATATGTTTTTTAATCAAGAAAATATAGTTTTTAAAAAGTAAGCTTTAAAAATAGTTGTGCTCACTCAATTAAAAATGAGTTCTGGTACTGAGAATCTTACATGAAGTCCAACTTTTACACTATATAGTTTAAGAGTTGTGCTAGATGAACAGGTTTACGTTGGCTCTGTACATTTTACAGCGCCCCTGGATGAATAGAGCCATCTAAAATAATTCATAGTTTACTTTTAAGCCAAGTGGAGGGTAGTTCACAAGTTTAAGCCATGATCACGATTTCTTATCCCATGATTTTATTTTCTATAATTTCAAAGAAAATGATTATTGAAACAAAATTAGGAAGTGTTTACTAATCATACTTCCACGTATAGATATGTTTGGAGGGATTTTGAAAAATCAAAATCTAATTTTGAGATTAAGAAACAGTTTTTGAACACGTCTGAATAAATTTTGGGAAATGCTCCGATTGACTATAGGAGCTTTTAATAAAAAGTAAAAATTGATCTGAAATAACTTCTTTAAGAAGTTCTTTCACAAAAAATAAATACAGAAACAGAAGTCTTATCAAATTGACTCTATATACTGTTTAAAATTATGCTAGTCATGGGTCTTCAATGCAATGAAGTTTAAAATTGACTCTATATACTGTTTCATGAAGTTTTTCAATTTAAACTGCGTTACATTTCAAAACTTTGCACAAGTCAATAGAAAATTCATTTCCATAATCATGTAATTTGCATTATTAAGGCAAATGAAGACAATGAACTTGGCTAAAACATCTAGAAACGACAGTCGTGTTTCTTAATTATGAGGATTAATAAATTGCCCCTATTTGTCAATTATGAGGATTAACTTAATGTTTCTTAATTAGTCAATACCATTAATTAAGTGGTTAGTAAATATCTTTAGAGTCATAATTTTATCATTTTTGCAAACAAATACGTGTTTGGGAAGTATTTGTAAACAATTTAAACAATAGATAGATAGATAAAATTTCTTTTATGCGAGATAATTTTACTTTCTAAAATAATTTCATTTTTCTCAATGAAGAATGTTTAAGAATCTTTGTAATATATAACTAATTTGTAGAATATATGGTTCCCTCTAGAATTTTATCGGGAACTTTGCTTCATATACAGAAGTCAAACCCGCGTAATTTCACCAGAATACTCACACACGTGGGTCCTGCACAATTTTTTTTAATACACGGTGGGGCCCGCACATCGTTAGTTTTCTGGTGAAATTCTATGGGAAGTTTTCTGTACATGAGGGGAAAAATGTTTCGTCGGTATTTAATGTTTAAATTTTCAACTATGTACATCATTACCTACCAAATTCACGTTAGTCCAAATGTGGACATGGAAGGAGACGACTTTATTCCTTCTTATTTTCGAATTTTATGGCTTTTAATGTAATATTTAATCCTCGTTTTATATGTTAGGACTTATTAATTATCTTTAAGAGAGATGAGGAACTATAAAGCAATTATGATCGAGTTGCAATAGGTTCGTGTAAAAGTTGTAGCCCCAAACGTTATGGTCGGGAAGCTCATGCCTAGCTCGACTGATAAGAACATAATCTTGTCACATCATTTCAAAAATTGTAAACGTCTAAAAAGACAGAAATTTATACAAATACATCAATTATTTTCTTTACTATAAAATTACATCAGTTATTTTCTTCACATCGAAATATCGCGTGTACATATTCTCCAGAAAAGCAGCAAATTTCTACATTTTAATTTCAATTTCATTTCATATATGTCATCAGGACAAAAGGCAGATATAAATGTGTCATATTCTATAGCATTGATTTCATCTGCTCATACAATAGCCATAGTAGAATGCCAATTGCAGTATCTCTTACCAAGTCTTTGGCAATTGAACCAACCCAGCCGTAGTCATCCCCTGAAGGCCTCTTCCCGGCAAGGTCTTGGAATCGCAAGTTTCCTTGATCTGAAACAAGCGAGTATATAACTCCGTTCATGTGGCCCTTTCCCATAACTCCCACTACTTTCTTACCGTTATTCACAGCTTTGCTCCTCTTCAGGGACCAAGCAAGATACTAAAAGAAAAACGAGTTCCATCATTTAGCGGAAGAAAGTTAAAAAGTCAGTCAGCATTCACGACAAAAAACTGTCTTGTTCTAAATAAGTTTGGAGTGGAGAAATGAATTCTATTCTGTCACACTCCGTTGGGTACAAGAACCTCTCTCAAGTATATGCAAAACATATCCCACCAACTTCATCATCCTCTTATTTTTTATCTGTCAATTTGGTGGCACAATCAGTACCATAATGCATAACAACTCGAAAGTCAGTACCATAATGCACTGCAGCTCAAATAATTGTTCATAAAAATAGAATGACTACAGAACGATGCCTGTTACTGGTTAATGATAAGATCTAAATTTTGTAAAAGCCAAGAGACATGAGCAAAAATTTGAATTCTCTTATTCCCTAATAAATAGTACAGTTGCCAAACAAATCAAATTGTTTATAACTCACTGTATCACGTTCATATATGAGAGGTGGCAACAGTGATGGATATGAAGAGCTTAGCTGGTCATAGAGCTGGAAGTTGTCATCACTAGTACTAGATTCCTGATTTACAAAATGCAACAATAAAATAAGTTCTATAGAAGTTTTTAAACAGACTTAAGCAGATGAACACAAACGTCCTTGTGCCAGGACCAGCAAATATGATCAGTACTTCCAATTAAAGAAAGGGAAATTGCAGCGAATATCCCAAACCTTTTATTTTGTTGTAGAATACACCTTAACCTTTCATTTTTACGGTTGTAGTTCCTAACCTTTAACTTTCACTGTAGCTGAAGTTCACTTGACAAATTCCATCCACTTATCCGTTAGTCAAATCTAAATTAAAACTTTGACTCAACTTAAACAAATGAAGTGAAGGGTAAAATAGTGAATTTTCATTTTCTTTAAAATAAATAATTAAACAAAAAACCAAAAAAATGATCTGTTTGTCCACCCCCATCCCCACCCCAACACCAAAACCCAGGACATCCGATCACTGCCATTCACCGCCACCCATCTACATGTTGCAACACCCACCGTCGCCACCGTAACCGCCACCACCACCGACCAAAATCTCAAACAACAACACAAACATAAGCTAGCTGCATCAGACCTACAGTATACCGTGGATCTTTTCTCCGCACAGTAATCATATAGGTAACCCATACTTCAATTAATTCTTATTCTCAATCAAATTACTCCATTCAACACTGCATTCAATTAATAATATAGTGCATTTAACTTACACAAAATCAGTAATTAAATCTTGCACGGGAACATTTCGGGAAAGAAAATTCAAGCATCAGCTAAGAACATAATTAAAAGTTTTATTCTCCAGAAATTTGACAGTGACAACGATGGGTAGTGTGATATGTAGATGGGTGGTGGTGATTGGATTTCTTGTGTTTTTGGTTGGGAGTGGGGGTGGGGGGGGGGGGGGGGGGGGTTGGGGAAGATGATGAAGATGAGGGGGGTGTTTGGAGAAGACAAACAGTTTCTTTTTTCGTTAATTATTTATTTTAGTTGTTTTATTATAAAAAATGCAAATTCACTATTTTACCCTTCACTTTATTTGTTAAGTTGAGTCAGTTTTAATTTAAGGGTTGACTAACGGATAAGTGGATGGAATCTTTCAAATGGACTTCAACTGTAGTGGAAGTTAAAGGTTAGGGACTGCGACCATAAAAATGAAAGATTAAGGTGTATTCTGCAATAAAATGAAAGGTTTGGGACCTCTGCTGCAATTTTCCCTTAAGAAATGTAGGTTTGGATCACATGGCAATTAGATTTCCTCAAAAGATATGGTCAACTTCAAACTTACTCAAAACACACACACACACACACACACAAAATAAAAAAATAAAATTGTTGAGTTAGAGTTGAAGGTAAGAATTTGTTATCTAGAATTTTTTGAGAGAGAAACCTTTAATGTATCCATGGAAAACTTGGACGACGTTATTCCACGAATGACAGTAGACACTAAGCTCAGCTTCTCCTTCCACTTAAGTGAACTCCATGCTCTTTCAAGCTGTAAGGAAACATGTAAAATAAATAAGCTAACCTTCATCACGTATCGGTCAACATAATTCAGCCATCTAACAGAGGCAGCAGAAAAACCAATTAACGTTGCAATCCATAGATCCCCCAGATATAGGATCACTATGGTTGTAGAAGACAAACTTCAAATAAATAAATTTGTCCCATGTGTAATAACTTAAGCTTTCCAATGAAATGGTTCGACGTAGTATCATAATAAGCAATGGTCATGGATTCAATTCTCGACTGCCCGCATTTGTAAAAATTGCACAAGTGTTTAGGCATTTGATGAAAAAATGAATTTGACCTACACGTAAAGATCTTCTTGAAGACTAACTCAAAATAAATAAATGTCTGCTTAACTTCAGATGAAGTCATTCAGTAACAACCTAATTTTGGATTAGTGAAAGTAAACAATACAAATGGATCACATCGATACATTACATACAGTTATTTCAATTGGTCGATCCCCCAACACTATTTGAGCACCAATTTCTTCAGAAGCCTTTCTAGCAGCACGAAACTGCAAACTTGACAACAATTTTCTCAGAGAAGATGTGATCAATAGAAATTCTGAAGTTGCTACCTATTAATATATTCTAAATAATTTGTGACAAGCATCTACCTCATCACCAAAAGGACGATCAATATCTGAAGACATTTTTGAAGAGAATGCCGCGAACAGTAGGCGCAGTGCTAAAGCAGTTTGACCCCCTGTCATATTGGAGAAGTATAACTAAATCTTCTGAAAAAATGCTGTAAATGAATAGACGAGCAAGGGATTAATACGTACCCAAGTTAATACTGCGGCCAACAGCCCCAAAGAACCCAGAACCACTCAAGGAAAACATGTTTGACCTCAACTGCTGATTGAGCTCACCATTGTCAGAAGCATACATGATCCCAGCTCTGAAAATAGAATCTGAAACAAGTCAAGTTAAGCCATATATTGACAACAAAAGAGTATGATAAGTATCAAACTTCTTGAGTTAATTTAGTTAAGTGATAAAAATAATTTTCTACGCAATCAATGGCACTAGATGCTTTAGTTATTAATATAACTGACATCGCCCTACAATTACATGGAATGAGATAAATGATGAGGATTTTATTAGTGTGGTTTAATAATGGATATGATGCTTGATAAAGTAGGATGGTACCAAGAATATGCACGTGGTTGATCCTGGATTAAGCATTGAACTGCACAGGTTCTTTGTCGAACCCCTTGAATTTCGATTAATTTATAATAGGCAATAATAATTGTGGCTTAGCATCAAATAGTACCCATACGCCATACCGGATACTTGTGCAACCATTACCATTTCCAATTTCTTACACTGTAGGTTTTCAGGTTTTAGTCAACTCGATAAAGTACTCACAGAGGCAGAAAATTGAAGAAAAGAAACAAAATGCTCTACTTCTAATTGCAATTGAAATATGCCTTTTATTCATTGGCAAGATATAAATAAAACTCCCCTAATCTCACTTAGCTGTCCTAATAGAACTGAAAAGAGTAACAAAGACCATTATTCCAGTTCTTTTTAGGCGCAAGTATGCCATGAGAGCACATGCAAAAGTAATTAATTTTCATATGATGAGGCAACTTGGTTTAACAGAACTCTGTCTAAGCAAAACTTTTTAAAAAAGAATTAACTATCATTTTTAAAGCAGCTGCATTACTAACAGTTAAACTATATATTGGTCCTCAAATTCTGTATTGGAATTATTAAAAACAGAATGCACATTGCAAATAACAACCCAACTTGTCATGTAAATTTCTAAATATCATGGATCTCTGTCAGCCCTTCTCCATACATTAGTTTGGTCCGTTAATTTCCATTTGCCTAATTCATTTGCACCAGTTTCTCTCAGAGAACATTTAAGCCCCCGTTTGGCACCCATTTATTTTCTCATTCTCATTCTCATTTTTTTTCTCTTTTTTCATTTCAACCACACATTCTATCAATAAAATAATATTACACATAAACCCAAAAATTCTCATTACTTTTTAACCACACATTCTTCCATCAATCACTATTCCAAAATTTATTTTTCGTCAAAGCACTCATTTTTTTTCTCATTCTCATTCTCATTTTTTTTTCTCTTTCTTCATTTTAACCACACATTTTATCAATAAAATAATATTACACATAAATCTAAAAATTCTCCTTACTTTTTAACCACACATTCTTCCATCATTCACTATTCAAAAACACATTCTTTCACAAAAATGGGTGTCAAACACCCCCTAACTTGTTGAGTTGCTACTTGTCCTCCAAGAATAATACCAAGCTCAGTCAATCTAATTTTCAAAATCGAAATTACGCCTCCATCCAAAATGAAGTACAAGTTCAACTTGAAAAATCCTAATTTCCACTTGACCTCGTCAAAAGTCACATTTTACCTTAAACTAAAGTTGTACACGTGCCAAGATGCAGTCTAGAGAAACCTAAAAAGTCATAGATGAAAGTTTCCAATGTTTCTCTTGCTCATGAAGTTATGGGACTAATCCTTCCATTGCCGGTGCTTCCACACCCTCCATATAATAGCTGATAATTAAATTCATAAACATAGAAAATGAAACCAATTAACAAACTGCAGGAATGCCCATCTTGTTGAAGACACAATTTTAACTGATAAATTGTCCTCTCTCTAACTGCCTAAGCATTTAAACGTGTTGGTCAAGATGACATCAGAGCAAACAAGGGTTGCTTAAGTTCAGGTCTAGCAGCTACCCATTTGCAATTTCATTCACATATACAGTCTTCCACGAAAAGATAATCTTGCCCACACATGACTGTAGGCTATCAAATATTATAACTCCAAACACCGTGAATAACTTACCTTTTTATTATTACTTTTACGTAAAAAAAGGTAACATTTTTTTAAGTTACTGTTGCCCGGTTGTGAGAATAACTCAACTGTTTGAACTATCACCAAGAAAAATTATTTGTTTTCAACTTATTAGCGAACATTATAAGGTTATACAATGTGTATGCATAATTCAGCTGAAATCCCAAATCATTAAAAAAAAAAAAAAAAAGCAAACGCCTAAAACTTGCCTGCTTCTGCATAGCTCCACAACAACATTGTCAGGCCTCAAAGCACGGATAACCCTTAGAACATCAGAAGCAGATTCTTGGGATATATGGGTGGTACCAATAAGCCAAATGGCCTCCGGTTCTACAAATTCACTTCTCCATGGAGGGACTGGTCCATATTGACTTTTGTTGATCAGTACCAAGGTCCCATTATGCGCCAAATCGAGCAATTCTGGATGGGTTTTGGCTATTGTGCTTGTTGAAATTCTGAGAATTTCATTCTTGAAATCAAAGTCTGCTGGTGGTGGAATAATGGAGGCTCTGCATACGGGTTTGAGATTTGGGAGGTGAGCTTTGAACGGAAAATGGAGCTTGCTATACTGTGTTAGTGGGATTGGGAATGGAGATGTTAAGATTTTCATGCTTTCTCTCACACGCACAAACGGGGGGAGAGAGAGAGAGAGACTGAGAGCAGATTGCTATTTTTCTGTGGCCAGAAGGGGAGCTTTCAGGTTTCTGAGCTTGGTTGGCTCCATAACTTGTAATACTGATTTTCATTTTTTGCCAAAGTGTTTGAGCCTCTGTTTGAAAATAAATAATTATATATAAGTCCAACTTCAATTTTTAACTACAAGTTTTTATTGACTCGTGTACTATTTATTTATAAATTAAGTCGTTTATAAATTCTTTCCAAATAAAGACTAAATTATAAATACTTTTGGTAAAAAAAAAAGTTTTTATTCACATATTTTAGTAACGTTTACAAATACTATCTATTTATTCACAATCCACTTTTATCTATTTATAATTTAAATAAATTATAATTAATTCCCGAACATGCTTTGGTGTGATTTTGTCTAGTGTCATGTTAGTACAATAATTTTTTTGGGTTGACCAATTATTATACTAAAAAAAAACCTTAAAACATGTGCTATTAATGTTTTAACTTTTAACCGTATAAGCACCATTGTGGATTTGCCACGCTTTTTCTACTGAATTTCATTCCGGTACCCAAAAGAACAATCATTTTTTCCACAAAAGGCCTATGTTTGATATAAATGCATGGCTAGTTACCTCAATGTAACCCAAAAGGACCCTTTTAAGTCCTAAGGACTACCAATCCCATACACTTTTCATCAAATACTTCTGAGGACCAATTGTCCCAACCCTTAACCACCACTGTTTCCACTTTCCAGTCCAACTGATGGCGCGCCATCATCTAGACAGAGTAGGTGTAGGAGCAGAAAATGGGTATGGGAAATTCACGAACCACGTAAAACTATGCATATATGGCCCCGAACATACCCCACCTTCGAAATGGCTGCTGCAGCCTATGATTTTGCCGCTTTGGCATTGAAAGGTCTTGATGCTGCACTAAATTTTCCAGAGTTCGTGAGACGGAGATAGGGGGTCGCCCCCCAATATTATCCG